AGTTTTCTTACCACTGCTGTAGTTTGTCTTCTTGTTTATTTTTCTCGTTCTTCTTGTTTCGTTTCTTTTTCCTCCAACAACTGCTGTAATTTCTCTTGTTTATTTTGCTGTTCGAGCTGCCACTATTGCAGGTTTTCTTGCTATTGCTGTTGTCTCTCTTCTTGTTTCTTTTCTTATTACTCCAACAACTGGTGTAATCTCTCTTCTTGCTTTTTTTTTCGTTCTTGTTTATTTTCTAGTTCTTCTTGTTTCTTTTCTTTTTTTCTCCAACAACTGCTGTAATCTCTCTTCTTGTTTATTTTCTTTCTCCTCCAACCATTGCTGCAATCACTATTGTTTCTTTTCTTTTTTTCTCCAACAACTGCTGTAATCTCTCTTCTTGTTTCTTTTGCTGTTCTTGTATTGCTGCCATAAAATCTGCTAAGCTGTAGTTTGATTTGCCACTTCTCGTTTCCATCTTCTTCTTTTTTTTTCCATCCCACTCCTGACACCAATTTATTACGTTTTTTGCTTGTTTTATAATTTCCGGTATAAATTCTTTCCGTGGAACTTCAGCGATACAAGTCCTTTCTTAATCAAAACTAGTTTATTCTTTCTCGATACAATTTTGTAATACACAGAATTTCCACAGCCACTTTAAACTTAACAGCCTTTATAACACACGCTATAAATCGCAGTGATTCCCGCACTTTCATTACGGTGCCTACTGTTCGTTTGACTCATTTATCTATTTCTTCAATCTATCTGCCCGATCGCGCTGGTTTTTCTCGCCAGGCTTATATACTAAAAAAGAGGTCGCCTCGAACAAACTAGAGTTGCCAGGAAAATTCATGATCCTTCTGGAAAAAATTCAACGCGCATGCTCCCAGCGTCGTGTGATTTCCGCTGCCACCAGGGTGAGGCAACACTGTGATTAATATGGTCAAAAATCAAGCTTCCACATTATTGAAATGGCATGATAATTTATATCTATAAAAATAAAAGAGGCAACAAAATGACGTCGAGCAAAATTTAATAAAACAAAATACAATATTCGGTCATCATCACCACTCTAACAAATTAATACACAGTTCCCTTATGAATTTACCATAACTTATAAATAAAAAAAATGGATTTTCATTGAAGTTTCAAGATCACTACCTTCGAACCTAAAACACACACACTTAACCCAAAAGATTTAACTTAACTAATTAACCATCATGCGCCCCCGATAGCTCATTGGTAAGCTTAAGAAATTGCAATGCTAAAAATCAGCGCAGATAATTTTTCATTTAAACACAAAACAAACAAACAAACAGACCACCATGAATTCAAATTCGATGACGAGATACCCACTTTGAGACTAATAATGCTTGAATGGGTAATAGAAGAAAAATAGCTGATGATGACAGAACCTTGTCGAAACGTTGTACATTTGCTGTTATGTTAAACTTATATTAAAGTTTTTATTCATTACCCATTCAAGCTGTCTCCAAGCATTATTAGACCACCATAAAGTCAATAGGCTTGTGAAATAGCAAATTACTTTTTTATTATGGTTTACAAGTTTATCGTTTAGTTTATCTATAAATTTTAGTTTCATTAAAACGCTAACTCACATTCTACGTAATCATTCGTATTTTGAGTAAATATATATGTGTGTATGATAAAACTGACACCAGCTTCCATAGCGGTGACGTAATGATACTATTAACATAGTAGAAGAATATGCAAATTTATGATCATATGAGTTGTACTCTCGTAAACTACTCTGTGAATAAATACCCTGCCAGAAGATTCACTGCGAGAGAAAGTCGCTCGATAGTTACCGGAAAATATAGTTATTGCTGTTTGACACTCGATATTGCAAAGTATCGTTTGAATATTGTTGTTGTTTTTTGGAATTAGATTTTTTTCAGGTTCTTTTGCCCACTTTCATTATTATTGATTTATTAATATTCATGATAAACTGCTTATTAATATTGGTGTGAAGTCCTGGCCAGGCATATGTTTATTAAGTGTGTTGAATATATTTCTAAGCGTTGTTATGGTGAATAAATTGTGTTTTGTTGTTGAACCGATTGTAGCAGCGTGCTAATTTTTAATTCGTTGCTCATTTCCTGATACTAATTACAAGTAATTCTGGATTTACAAGTTTAAATGATTTTACAGCACCTAATTACCATCAAGTAGAAACATTATGTCTCTTACTCAAACAGCAACAGGATATATATGTGGTTCAAGCTTTTAGCCAAAATATTTTCAAGTTCACATATATGACAGTAAAGTAATAATCTGAATATACAATTCACTATTTTAATTTTTACATCGATGTCGATTAATTATCCAGTTTATTCTTCTAGCTTTTTTTTAATGTTTTGTTAAACTAATATTTTGCATATAATATCTAACCTAGTGTTATGTTTTTTAAATTTTTGTAACATATTTTTATATTTCTCTATGATTTTGTGCACTTGATGAAGATGTTTTGCAGTTTAATTTTAATTGATGAAAAAACCTTCCACCATATTTACTTTAAAGAGGAAGTTTACCATATATTGGCTATTACTTTCTGCTACAACAAACATACCCTTTAATTAAAAATGGTTGACATTTGGGCATCTTCTAACAACAACAAAAAAGAAGGCAAGACTAGGGGAATTCTTCTAACACCAATCAGCTAACATATTTATCAATGAGTTATCAGAAAATTCTAGACAACTGCTGCACCATTCATTAATCAACATCAGTTGACTCGTAAAAACAGGACTTCAGATCTATCTTTTGTTCCCCACAAGTCACTGCACAAAAAGCCTTTTGTTCAACACCAGGGAGTTACTTTTATAACATGACTCTGATTTTTTAATCCAAAATGAAACTGTAGTTAACATGATTTTATCACAGATTTTAGGCTTAATAGTTTCTAATGCTTAGTCAGCTTTTGACATTTACTTAAACCTTATTACAGTTTACTAACCATGTTTTTAATGTATTGTCACGACAGCGGAAGTCACGTGACGCTAGTAACACGTCATTGACTTCTGTCACTTCCTGAATGCTCTAGAGTTTACTAGATATG